TACGATACCTGGATTGACGGTTTTAGAGCATTTCTTGTCCCTTGGCGTTGTTCTTCCTAAGCTCATCGTTCTCCTGACGCAGTGCATCGATCCTGGATTGGAGAATGCTGATCATGGCCTCTGCACTCATCATCTCAAGCTTGAAAGTTTCTCTCTCAACAGACATCTGGTGAATCTCCTTCTGCAGATCATTAAGCCTCTCTTCAGGAGATGCAAGTGGAGGAGCAGCTTCCTTGTGAGGACGTAGAGGTTGCTGCAGGTTTTCTTTCTTGTCGGAGATACCCATGAGTTGGAACTCAAGCAATGCAGAGATGGCGGTGTTGGTGGCAGCAGCGGACGATGAGATTAAAGTGGTTGTGTTGTCGACGGTTGTTGTTGTGGACGAACAATGGTCCTGTGTGGTCCTGCTTGAGTTGTTGGACTCGTTCTGGCGTCTGCGTTTGTATTGGAGGAGAGGTAACGGAGCTTCTTTGTTGAGAACGCATAAAGGAGGACGCTGCTCGTCTTCGTCTGCNTGCTCACGNTTGAGTGCTTCCTCTTCTTCATCAAAATGGTTANTGTTGTTATTCTCCTGCGGCTTGACGGCATTCTCATGATGATTCTGATGGTTAGGTTCGATATCCATTGGAGTAGACTCTCTCGGTGGCTCGTTGATGTTAATGAGGTCCTTGCTTGCTGACTTGATTTCCTACGACAAATTTCAAGCTATGTGAATCACAGAAGGGACAAATAAAATATCTGAAACCAAATGCGTTGATCTGACTTTGCAGATGAAGATCAAAACTGAAATTTTATACCAAAACACAATAAATCCTTCTCCTCTTGATAAACATACACTGATCAATTGTGTGAGTTCATAAAATGCAACACGAGGCTAGTAAGTCTGAAAGATCTTGTCATAAGCATGATTGAAGATAAAGCCCAAAGAAAAAAAGACTTGAGGAAATTTAGATATCTTGTGAATCAAGAGAGATGATTCACAAGATAAATCTATGAAGTTGAGTTTTACTAGAGCTGATAACAAACTCAATATAATAGTCCGGTTCAAGTAACTCAGCCCACTCAAACATCAGTTAGAGATATGAATCACAGAATTTTTGCATACAAGAAATATTGAAATGAAACTAATCAGTTTCTGGATTATGAAGCGTAAGTACGAAGAAAGCACAAACCTGGTTGTTTCCATTGGTTAGCGGTAGTGGATCTGCCTGGTTGTTTCCATTGGTTAGCGGTATCGGATCTGCCTGGACCCTAACGTCTACTCCTGGAATCAGAGAAGCTCCATCATCAGCCCATTCCTCTTCCATGAAAGGCGCATATCTGTTCCCACTTGGTGGCCCAATGTTATTCTTGTGGAACACTCTGCACAACACATAGGCATCTTGCTGCACCCAAACAAAGAATTGAGTTAAGATAGGAAGTTTAACTTAGGACAATAACAGGAAACCCCAATCAGGTTTGGAAATACAATACCACCAGGTTTCCGTTGGTCTCGGTTTCATAGTCCACAAGGCGATACTCGTGCATGACCCAATTGGTCCGTAGCCCGTCTGGGGCTCGCCCGCTGTGGAAAACAAGCGTCTTTTTCATACCGAGCAACTGGATGTCACGGCGAATTTCTCTGTCTTTTCCAGTGGCTTTCCAGTATCCTTTGTTAGTCGCCCGGTTCATTCTAGCACCGTTCCCGTACTTCTTGTCCAAAGCACTGAAGAAGTACCACTCCTGATCCCTTGTCTTCAACCTCG